ACAAATTGTCAGACGTCTGCTAAATAAATTTTCATCACAATTAACAAAAGAGTAATAAATAAGAATAAATGTTAAGGTGAACGGCGAGTGCGTTACAGGTATTAAATATTAAGTTGTAAGATGTAAGATGTAAGTATATAATAATGAGCAAATTTATATAAATAATTACAATTACTATTATAATTATTGTAATGTTTGTGTATGTTATTAAGAGACAGCAAGAATGAGAAGGCGGTTCGGGGAAAGTAGATCGAAAAGTGTGTAAGTAGAAGTGAGGACTTGACTGAGAGCTGGAGGATGGAGATGGAGGTTGGAGGATGAAAGAAGGGATCAGTTGAGAGTCGAGGGTATTGCGGAGCAAGGTGAACAACTCTGGAAGTTGCTCGCGACGAATGCAACCCACTGCTAGTCATATACTTTGTTATAGCTATAGTAGTATATAAAATATATATGGATATGGATATAAATGAGGTATAGGTATAAATGTTGAGGCTAGCTTACATACACTGCCAGGTTTTAACTTTATAATTTTATAACTTTAACTAATGTGAGATTCTCTGCAATTTTTATTTCGCCATTCACTTAAAACTTACATTAGTGCCCGGTCTGTTGTCGACTCGACACTTGTGTCATCAAGACGTTTTGTTTAATTGTTGTGAATTTTTTTGTGATTGTTTATTTGTGAATTTTAAGTTTTATTGTTAATTATTTAAATTTTAGTTTATTTTTTTTTTTAAATTTAATTATTTATCATTCTTAATTTTCAATTTTTTTGTTTAAAAAATTTTATAAATTGATAAATTTTCAATTTTTTGTCTAAAAATTTTTATAAATTGATAAATTTTAAATTACTTTTTTTAAAAATTTTTATTAAGATATTTGATTAATAAGTTTCAATTTTTAATTTACAATTATTGATTTAAAAAACTTTACAAATGTCAATGTTATTTAAAAAAAATTTGACTTTGAAACTTAATATTAAAAAATTAGTTCAAAGATTTATTTATTTATTTAATTTATAAATATTACTTCAAAATTTCTCAATCGAAATGTCAATGTGATTTAAAAGAATCCTCAACATTTTAATTACGCAATTTTATTAAAATACTTAACATATAAATTCACTCAAAAAATAATACTCCAAAAGAAGAACATTTTTTTTTAATTAAAATAAATTTTTATTTACAATAAAATTCACAAAAAAATATTTTTACACAACAGAAATTACGTAAAAATATTTAAACCGTGGAATTTCCTGTGATTATCACGCCTAGCTGGTGATAGCAATGAAAAACCGGCTGCGCGTAACGGACTCGGTCTTAGGATTCGAATAACCACAGAATTATAAATTAAAAATTCATTTTTTTATTATTATCGTGCAACAGATAAATTATCCAAGGTATCAGTTCTATTCATTTATTTATTTCTCAAAAATACATTTATAGTTGTATATATAACTACATATAATCCCCATAGAGACAAATGGTTGCCTGTACATAGGGTAGGGAAGAAGAGATAGGCCTAATGCCTAGTGATAAACAATAATATTAATTAATAACTAAGTCTAATTAACTTTGGCTCTCATATTTTGAGATAAAATTTCTATTTTATCTTTTTTCGATTACATAAAAAAATGAACAATTTAAAAGAAAAAAGTTGATTATCAAAGTTTTATAAATTTTTTTAGAAAATTGTGATATTCAGCTTTTTTTTTAATTATTAATTTTTTTATGTACTTTTCAAAATAAATACATCAAAAACATCAAAAAAAGATAAAATAGAAATTATATCCAAAAACATGAGAGCTAAAATTTTTTCCAACTTTCGAAGATGATTTTTTTATTGAAATATTAATTCTTTGATATTTTTGATATCACCACCATAAATCCGACCTTAAATACCTTAGAAACAAAAAAGTTAAAAAAAAAAATTATGATGATCCATCAATTCATCTATTTTTTGTGACCAAAAATAGGTTTGACCCCACTTGTAAATAATTACCAAAACTACAATTAAATTTTGACATATCGACGTTCTAATTAGCAAATTGTCTAAGTCCATTTTAGAGAATCTTCCATTTGTACGAAAAAAACAATTAGTTCAAAATTTATTATCACTTTAAAAAACCATTTAATATCTAATAGAGGTATAATACTTGGGTTTGAATCATTCAAATAATTTATAACTGGTTGCTACATCATGACTATTGCTACATCAAAATATTAAAAAATCACCCTCTAAAAAATAAGGAGTTAGACCAATTGCTAATTAGACCGTCGATATTTCATATTTGGTTTTTAGTTATTTAAGCCTTATTTTATTTTGTATTATATTTAGTAACTAAAATTGTGTTACACAGAAAAAAAAATGTTCTTGAATCAAGTATGTAATTTTGAAGAACTTAATATTCTTGATTTGAGTAGAAAAATTCTTGAACTAAATAAATTTTTCTTGATATTAGGAAATTTTACTTGATTTAAGACAATTTCCCTCTTTAAAATTATTTTCTTGGTTCAAGAATTTTTCTCTCGAATCAAGTTAATTTTTTTTTTCGGTGTATTTTAAAAACTTAGTTGATTCAGTGTATTTGTTAATCATTTTTTCATTTTAACCTTGTTCGTCTTATTAATTTCCGCCAATTTTTTACATTCAGTTGGCAAAAGATTAAAATATTTTACAGCAACGTAGTATATGAACTTTTACAATATCTACACTCAAAAAAAAAAAAATCTTGACTGGAAAAATTTTCTTGGTTCAAGTAACTATTAAGGAAGATTGAAAATTTCTTGAATGAATTCAAAATTTCTTGAGCTAAAAAAATTTTATCTTGCTCCAAAATAACTTTTGTCTTCCTTAAAATTTGGTGCAAGAATTTTTTTTTCTGTGTACATCAAAAGAACAAGATGATACTGGATATCATCCCAGATTATACTGAATATAATCCAGATTACAATGAGAATAATCCAGATTATAATGAGTGTAATCCAGATATCACGCAGTATAATCTGGATTTTTTTAAGCTACTATCTGAAATTTTTTTTCACCATAGATATCACTGAGTATAATCTGGGATGATATCCAGTGTCATCTTGTTCTTTTCGTATAGTTTTATTAATTTTACATAGTTTTATCTTTTAGTGTCTAGATCTTCCATCATAATCATAATATTTGAATAAATCCCCGAGTGAGGTCTACCTATCACTCGCACCCACCCTCTATGAATTTATACCTACAAAAAAAAATAAAATTTTCCGATTTTCCAGCGGTTTATTTTCTTTATATTTCTTCTTACTCATATAATACATTATACATTACTTATACTCTTACTCTTACTTGCAGATCTGGTCTCAGTGCCCCCACATACAAAATAAGACCAGCTTACACTCGACAGAGTAGAGGTTTTCATCGACATCGACATCAGGATCTCGATCGACGAGGTTGACGTTGACGACACTCTCCTCGTCCTTCCTTTCGCGCGATAACGCCTTTACTTGCGCGGTATGTTTCTATATACTGCGTACTCTGGTACACTGGTGTGCTGACTACACCACTAGCTATTGCTATTGCTATATAATATAATACTACTGTATACACACCAAGTAGAGGAGCTTCATATCCAATTACACGCGCGAGTGATGAATAAGCTGAAGTAGTGACTCGAGAGACGAGTCAAGAGAAACAACTTTTGTTAGTCGAACGTGAATATTTTTTTTTTAACTAAATATATATTAGCCCGTAAGTTGATTTTTTTTTCTTCTTTTTCTTCTTAAAAGTCTCAAAGTCGTAAAATTTTTTTTTCTATTTTATTGTTTTTATTTTAATTTATTATTAATTATTTTAAGAATTAAAATTATTCTCGTGAGTAAAGCAATTGATAATTTGTTAATATTATGCAATTGTTATTACTGTTACTGAATAAATTACTATAAAAAAAATAATTATTAAAAGAAAATTGGATTTTAATTTTTTTTAATTTCTACTTGTCAATTTTTTTTGGTGCCATAATTTATTTGTTACAAAAATTTTTTAAATTATTAAATATATCTGCTAAATTAATATCAAAATAAAGTTAGCTGATATTTCAAAATTTTTTAGAAATTTTTTATCCAAAAATTTTCAATTAAACAATTAAAAACAAAAATATCACATGTTAAAAACTTAAAAAACTACAAGTGTAATTTTTTAGAAAAATTTTTTTAGTTGTAATTTAATTAAAAAAAAAAATCAAAAATTTTTAGACGTCTACTAACTTCAGTGTCATAAATTAATTTACATTTAAAATTAAAAAAAAATTTCTAATGTCAGTTAACTTCAGGTCTTACTTTAGTGATACTGAAGTCAGCTGATAGCTGTCAATTTTTTTAAATTATCACAACAAATCAATTACATTAAAAAAAAAAACTTCTAAAAATGTTCACTAATAATTTATTTTCAATTTTCACACTTGTAATTTATAAATAAAATTTTTTTTACAATAATAAAATTACAAAAAAATTAGTAATATCAGTTAACTTCAGTGTCTTGTCTAAAATGACAATAAAACAATAGACAGATGTCAGTGCATGACAGTTCCAAGAAAAACTAAAAATAAAAAAAAGATAAATAAATATATATAAATATACCTGTATAAAATTTACAAGTATGTGGCATGTTTAGCATCTAGCATCAAACCCAAAGTCTGCTACTCCTAGTGCTGGTGCCTGGTGGTCATGCTGAGTTGGCAATCTTGATGTCCGAGTGCCTAATGTGTATATAATTCGGCCAAAGTATGTAACGTAACCTTTATTTAGATATGTTGTGTATTTATTGTATTTATTGACAAGTTATTAAATAAAAACTAGTTTATAATTAATTATTTTAATTTTTATCAGGAAGAAATATTGTCGGAGCCTGTATTGTAACCTGTTGGCTACCTCACCAGAGAACCGATGTACTTATGAGCCGTCGAAGAATATTTGTTTAAAAAAAATAAGTAAACATATAAACAATTGTTGTTAACAATGGGCGGGCAAAAATTTCAGTACGACGAGAGTGGTGGAACGTTTTTTTACTTCTTGCTGTCATTTCTCGCGCTCATCCTGGTCCCAGGTACTTACTACCTGTGGCCACGTTGTCCCAAGCCAGGTTAGTTGATTTATTTATTTATTTATGTCATTGAAAAAAAAATAATTAGTACAGTTAATTTTTATGATGCTTGTGAAAATTACAACGAACGGTAAATCCGTGATTTGGAAATAAAGTACCGTTTTTTTTGTTTTAGATGCTGAGCAATTGTCAAGAGAATGTCATTGTCCTAAGTGTAAAAAGAAAAAAGAAATACTATCGTCGGATGACAGGTGGAAGGCTACCAGAGCACGCTTGCTGTAAATTATATTATTTATTTATTTATTTATTTATTTATTAATGTTTATGTTCATTATTGATTAACGATTAATGTGGTTAATATTTTATTTGTAGGAAGCTTTTTATTATTTTATGCTGGATAGCTCTTGCCTTCTTGGCCTACAAGGTTTCACAGTATGACGCTGAAATGGCTAATTTTGATCCTTATGAAATTCTTGGTGTCTCATCGGTAATTATTAGTATAATTTTTATGTTGAAATTTTCATTTAAAAAATTTTTATTTTACAATCTTAATTTTTAACAGACATCTGTCAATTTTTTAGATTTTTACAACTAAATTAACTATCAAAAAATTTTTTTAAAAAAATTTAAATAATTTATTAAGTGCAATTTTTTTTTATACTTTATAATAAAAATACAAAAAAATTGTCAGGTTTTTGCTAATTTCAATATCATAAATTTATGTAAAATTTATATAAATTTATAATTACTTTTATTTATTTAAAAAAAAATATATATTTTTTTTTTTTTTTAAATATTTAGGGAGCGTCTGAAAGAGAAATAAAAAGAGCATATCGTAAATTATCATTAATACTCCATCCGGATAAAGAAACTGGTGATGAAAAAGCATTTATGAAGCTTACAAAAGGTAAAAATATTTCTAAGTTTTACAAACAAGTCTTGATAATTGTTTAGTTTCACAATTATTAATAATTTAACTGATAAAAATATTATTTATATTTTTATGAACTTAGAAAAAATTAATTTGTAACGTTCCCTATTTTTGGGTGTTAATTAAAAATAAGTTTCTTCAGGTCTGGCCTCATGAGGTTATCGATAGACTCCTGGTGAGCCGATCATTGGTCACTCGTGAAGTTTCTCTTATTATAAGTATAGTTAGTTATTTATATTTAATTAACGAATTAACAATTTTTACCTGATACTTTACTGACGCAAAGTAACGAATCACTCCGAGGGTCATTTAAAATTTTTAAATAAATTTTTAGTTGGTAAAATTTTTACCAATTAAATTTTACCAAAATTAAGTCCCGCCCCTGAATTCAACCGGAACGTTACAAATAAATTTTTTCTTCACACGCAAATTATAAATAAAATTTTAAAAATTCAAAAGAAAAATAAAATGACAAACGAAATAATTAATTTTTAAATTAATAAAAATATTGATAATGTAACTAATAATAAAAATTAAAAATTACAGCTTACCAAGCTTTAACCGACGATGAGGCTCGTAAAAATTGGGAAAAATACGGCAACCCAGACGGTCCAGGCGCGATGAGCTTCGGAATAGCTCTACCGTCCTGGATTGTCGAGAAGAAAAACTCCGTGTGGGTTCTAGGACTCTACGCGATGGTTTTCATGGTCGCGTTGCCCACCGTAGTCGGGATGTGGTGGTACAAGAGTATCCGCTACACAGGTGACCAAATTTTGCTGGAAACGACAAAAATTTACTACGCGTTCTTCAACTCTCAGAGGTTGACCACTTTGAAGCGGGTTATTATGATCCTCGGTGCTTCTAGCGAATTTTCTAAAGATTCTAATCCGGAAATAGTCATAAGGCAGTCTGATAATGAAGAAGTACCTTCAGTAAGTCCTTTTATTAATCATTTTAAAGAAAAATATTTATAAATATACTCAGTGAAAATTAAATTAGCCTTCTGAAAATTTTTATAAATTTTTTTATTAAAAAAATTATACGTGCAATTTTTTAAAAGTACTTTTAAGTGGATTATATAAATGATTATTTTAAAATAATTTTATCTAAGTTGAAAATTTTCAATTTTATATTAATTAATTTTTTTTTTTTTCAGCTAATGAAAAAAATTCAAAATTTAGGAGAAAAAAATAAAGAATTTCCACTATGCCGTAATTATTCTCTTAAAGCACGTGCAATTATTTACGCACACTTATCACGTATTCCATTAAATCCGGAGACATTAGAAAAAGACCGTCAATATATTATTAAAAAATGTCCTTATTTAATCCAAGAAATGATAATGTGTGTGAATCAATTGATATTCCTTGCATACAGTGGTCGAAGTAAGTTTTTAAAAATAAATTATTTCATTTTATTTTTAACTTTTCTTATTATTGTAAACTATTCTTATTATTTATTCTTGTAAATATGACTAATTTAATAATTAATTTTTAGTCGCTTGTCTACCGACAATAGAGACAATTGAAAATTGTATGAAACTAAGCCCGATGATAGTTCAAGGATTTTGGGAATTTGCAAACCCGCTGTTGCAATTGCCGCATATTGAAGAGGAGCATTTGAAACATTTTTCAGGAAAGAAACGTAAAATTAAGACACTGCAGCAACTCGCGCAATTGAAGGGCGATGAAAGGAGACAAATTTTGCGTAATTTTACTGATGAACAGTACGAAGACGTTATGAGGGTACTTGGAAACATGCCATACGTTGACTTCAAGGTTCAATCAGAAGGTAAAAATATCAATTAAAAAAAAATAGAGCATTAGATAAAATTAACAAATTTTTTATTTGTAAATTTATTGGAAGAGTATCACTAATATTACTAATTACGGCCTTAATTCTTCCAATAATTGATTATTGCTCAGGTTCATTTTCAATTTGAAGCGTGATGACCATATCACTTCTCATCGTCGCTCTCTAAAGTGGCTCTTAATCAAATTGAAAAAAATATATCTCAGTTTGTTTTTTTTATAAACTATTCAGTTCTGGTGAGCCAAATTTTTTGAGCTGTCTCTTTGTTAAGGAGTCATAAGACATTAGATTAAATAACTAGATTTTTTAATGCTGCCTGGTCGATATTTGGTTCCTTTACTCTGATAATTAATTTTTTTTTATGAATAATTAATTTGTTATTTATTATTTATTTTTCAACTTTCAGTTATCGACGACGACAACCCGACGGTTTACACAGCAGAGGCCGTAGTTACAGTAACAGTGACTCTGTACCGCAAGGACATGCGTCATTTATTCGGCGACGAGAGTGTGAAGGAAAAAACAGTGGAAGACGATGAAGAAAAAGACAGCAATAACGAAGAAGCTGAACCGGCTGCTAAATCAGCTCTGTGGCGCAAGCAGAAGAAAGGAGCAAAGAAAACGGGGAAGAAGAAGCAGCAGCGCGTTGCCAAAAAAACTCCAACAACCAAGTCGAGCAAGTCAGAGAAGCCTGAGAAGTCTCCGAACTCCAAGGAGACCTCTGAGAGCGAGAAGAACCAAAATGAGAACCAAAAGGTTGAAAAGAGTGACGTTGCCAGAGAGTCCGGCAGCGAGAGTGATGCTGAAAGCGAGAAGAGCGAGGAAGAGACCGAGTCCAAGGCTGAGGAGAAGAAAGAGTCCTTTGAGGATGAAGATGATGACGAGTGGGAGAAGTTCCAGCAGAGGATGAACAAGAGGGAAAAAGTCCTCGAGGGCAGGAGTAATTTGTCCCATGAAGTTCACTGTCCGATGTTTCCTGATGTCAAACAGGAGTACTGGTGGGTTTACATTTGTGACCGGAAGTCACACACGCTTATTACCACGCCAGTGCATGTCACGTCGCTGGTTGACAAGGAAGAAGTCCAATTGAGATTCACTGCTCCCAGTTGGCCGAGAGTTTACACTTTCTCCGTTTGTTTGAGGAGTGATTCTTATTTAGGATTTTATCAGACTCAGGATATTAAGGTAATTTTTTTTTATTTTTATTATAATATTATGTAATGTCGCTTTTTAATAATTATGCGCTCTTGTTAATTTATATTATTAATTTTTATTAAAAATAGACATCACGTTACTAATACCAAAATGGCGTATAAAAAATATTTTTTTTTTTTTTCAATTAACCAGGGAATGTATAAAAGTAAAAATCTGATTAAAAAACGCAAAAAAAAATTTTTTTTTTTACATAATGTAAAAGAACCAGTTATTGACACTATGAAAATTAAGTTAGCCGACATTTAAAAATTTTATGATTTTTTTTATTAAAGAATTATTACAAAAAAAATGAAAAAAAAAATTTCCATTAGTTGAAAACTTGAAAAACTATAAGTGGAATTTTTTAAAAATATTTTTTAGTTATAATTTAATAAATTAAGCAAAATAAAAAAATTAAAAATGTTGGATAACTTTATTATTATATTGACACTTGCAATTTTATTTTAATTAAAAAAAGCCAACTCCAATAATTTAATGAAAACAAATTGTAAATTATAAATTTTTAGATAATTGGTTTTTTAAAAACATTTTATTTTTTTACTTAGAATAAAATTGCAAGTGTCCAACAACTAGACCAGTGCCAGTAACTGGGTGAAACTAAGAAAAAAATTATATAAATTTAAAATTTTTGAGGAGGCATTTTTGGAATTAATAATAATTTTAAAAAATAATTTTTTTTCAGCTGGACGTAAAAGAAGCACCAGCAGTCCCAACACAGCACCCACAGTGGGACATTTCTGATGAAGAAACTGCCGAAGAAGTAGACATCGGTGATGAACATTCCGAGTACACGACTGACGAGGACGTCAGTGACAATGAATAATTAAAATACAATAAAAAAAAAAACAAAATAAAACTAACAATTAATGTGTCTAATAAATAATAAATTAAGCGTCAATTTTTATAAACAAAAGAAAAGTCTAATGTCACATCTCTCTATTGGAAAGACGTGTGTATCTCCACGTCCATATTATTATTATTATTTATTATACTTTTTTCATTTATTTTGTACTCGATCTTTTTCTGTATAAAGTATATGTCAGAGATGGATAACGATAATAATTAATTATTAATGACTAAAATAATTATAATTATTATAATAATTAATATTAAATATTTATAGTTTTAATGTGGACTTGAATGAATACGTGGGCATATGCTGTGTGCATAGTTTAATAAAATGGATCTATATATTATAACCACTAGTTTATTATTTTAGGAGAGTCTAATAAAAATCAGAATAGCTAGCAACCTTGCAGTCACTATGTGACTGCTGTGACTTTAAACTGTAAATAAAATTTTGCTTTAGTAAATAATGACTTGTTAAATTGCACTGTACTTTCTTAAATATTGACGTTTTTGAAGATATAAGCTCATCCCGATGTTACACTCATCAAAAGCTTTCATTTGAGTACCCACATCAATTTTTCATATATTTTTCATATATACATATATATATATATATATATATATATATATATATA